ACGCGGCTCGGTATCAGAAGAAAAAGCAGTGTTTCTCTCCTTGGCGGCCGGGAGCGGGAGACTCCCGGAGCGCCCGGGAGAGTTTGCTGTCTGGAGATCAGTGTCCCTGGTTAGCTGGTGACCAGGGACGCTGATCTCTCTGCAAGTGACCGGAGCCAGCCGTAAGATCACGGCTGGCTCCGCCCAGCTGTCAGAAGCAGGCTGTCGGCCGGCCAGCTTCGGCTTTCAGAGTGGCTCAAACGAGCCGAGGCATATGCCTTCGGCTTGACTGAGCCACTCGGCCAACTTCGGGAGCTGTACGTGCTATAGTAAATAGCCCATACAGCACCCCTTCGGTTCTACCGAACCGAAGGGGTCCTGGGGCCGAAGCTAGCCGAAGGATCGGCCGAAGCTACTGCTAGATCCGGGACAGTTCCATGTTTAAGACCCCACAGAGAATGTCCTTTGAACAGACTAGTTAAATATTTTTATAGTCTTTTGTGGTCGGCCAGCTTGTTTGCACAAAACAAATCTTTCCTTAAAGAAATCTATCAACATCACGCTGTAAAAACTGTAGAAAAATGTCATCAAACAGGTTATTGACCAAGCGAGCTACAAGCACTTAGAAAGGAGGGTGATTTTCCCAATTACTTACCAAAAAGAACCTTAGAAGGCAAGACAATTGTTTCTTCTTAAATTGGGACTGTAACCTAAAACAATTCTTAGCATGCAGTTTTTGTTTTTTTTCTAGCAGAAACTTTGTATGTCTGTTTTGTCCGAAAACGTCCTTCCCTTTTTCCTGGCAATTTTGTTTCGTAGCATCGACAGCAACACGTGTGCAGTGAAGTGCTAATTCTCAACATTTTACAGATGCTGAAGAGTGGATCCTAGTGCCAGGGTGGCGTAAATCATATATGTACATAGGTTGCATCCTCACTGGCAATCCTAACTGAAAGACAATGATGCCAGCAGTGGGAGAAGCTTCTGCAAACATGGCACAGAAGGTTGCAGGGTGGAATGGAAGAGCATGGGACAGTTTGCCATTATGTGCAAGTATGCTGTGCAAATGCTGAAATAGAGCGAAGCATCTCTCCTGTAAGAGTACAGCCATTCAGGTCGATGAGGGAGTACTATGCAGGCATGACCAGTAACAGAGAAGAAATCTGCAGTTGCTTTTTTTTTTTTTAAACTGAAGTTGTATCTTTAACTGTATATCCAGTCAAAATAAACAATGTTACTATGCGATTGTAAAACCTCTTAGTCAAGATAGTGCCATCTCCTTGAGTGTCTCTTTAATCATACCTGTTAATCTGGCCAGTAAAATTGCTTACTGGCCACTTCATGCAAAAGGGTGACAAGGCTGCAAATTTGTGACCGTGAAGAATGGGCAGGTCACTTTCCACATCTGCCACGTTGCAACAGAGGATCTGAAAATAGATCAGATCCACCAAATGAAAGAATTGACTCATGATTCTACAACCCCAGTTCTAAAAAAGTTGGGACGCTGTGTAAAATCTACATAAAAATGGAATGCAATGATTTGTAAATCTCATACTCATATTTTATTCACAATAGAAAAGTAGTAAACATATCAAATTTTCCAACTGAGAAAATTTACCATTTAAAAGAAAAAAAAAATTAATTTTGAAATTGATGGCAGCAACACGTCTCAAAAAAGTTGGGACAGTTCCATGTTTACCACGGTGTAGCATCCTCTCTTCTATTAACAACACTCTTGGTGAAAGATCGGGACTGCAGGCAGGTCGGGTAAGCACCCGGACTCTTCTACTATGAAGTCATGCTGTTGCCATAGATGCAGTATGTGGTTTAGCATTGTTCTGCTGAAATATACCAGGCCTTCCTTGTAATAGACGTCACCTGGATGGGAGCATATGCTTTTCTCAAACCTGGATATATCTTTCCGCATTGATGGTGCCTTTCCAGATGTGCAAGCGGCCCATTCCATACGTCCTAATGCACCCCTATACCTTTAGAGAGGCAGGCTTATGAACTGTCCATGTACCCATTGCACTCCTGACCGCACGTCCAACAAAGTATCCTGGGTGCTCAGTAGTCGACGGATGGCCACCGTCAAAGTAATGCAGAAAAGAAATAGACACCGGCACTCCAATAATAAATCGATTACGTCTATTTATTGACGTACATCAAAAGCAAAATAACACACTTAGTGCGACGTTTCGGGGACACACAGGAACCCCTGTGTGTCCCCGAAGGGGTTCCTGTGTGTCCCCGAAACGTCGCACTAAGTGTGTTATTTTGCTTTTGATGTACGTCAATAAATAGACGTAATCGATTTATTATTGGAGTGCCGGTGTCTATTTCTTTTTAGGCTTATGAACTGATCGCTGATAACAAGCCGGAAGGTCCCTCTTATCTTTAGTCCGTCCATAGTTGCCAAAAAGAATGTAAAATTTCGATTCGTCTGACCACAGAACAGTTTTCCACTTTGCAGACCATTTTAAATGATTTGGCCCAGAGAAGACCACGGCGTTTCTGGATCATGTACAGATATGGCTTCTTCGCATGATAGAGCTTTAACTTGCGTTTTTTGATGGCACAGTGAACTGTTCGCAGACAGTGATTTTGGAAGTATTCCGGAGCCCATGCAGTGATGTCCATCACATAATGATGCCTGTTTTTAATGCAGTGCCGTCTGAGGGCCCGAAGATCACAGGCATCCAATATTGTGTTTTGGTCTTGTTCCTTGTGCACAGGGTTCTCTGAAACTTTTGATATTATGTACTGTGGATAGTGATATATCTAAAGTCTTTAACATTATTTTGAAATTATTTGACAATTTTTAGATGCAGCTTTTCGCAGCGATACTCAACATGTGTAGCGCGATCAATGTTTTTTGTACGTAGGGGCACCCGATGCAGGTTTGCATGAATGCATGCGCGCTTATGGGGACTTCAATTTTTTTTTTACAATTATTGTAATCTATATTGTAATTTTTTTTTTTTTTTACTTTACGTTAATTGCGATCACATAAGGAGGCTTACTGGAAGTGACATGTCCTCTTTAAGATGATACTGGGGGTCCAAAAGACCCCCAGTATCAACTTTCCACTTTAAATAAGCTATTGAAGCGCAGATCGTACTTCAATAGCTTATCGCTCGGCTTTGGGATCTGGGAAATGACCGCTCAAGGGCCGGAAGTGATGCAATCCGCTTTGCATCCGGTGCCATAGAGCAGGGAGATCGGTGAACGTAAGTTTGCAGTTCTTCTCCCCAGCTTCCCGCTGGCACCCGAGATGCCGGTCCTTGGCCTGCAGGGGATGTCAGTGGAGCCCCTGAAACATGGCGGGTGTGTTGGCGGGGGGCGACTCTTTAGCGGCCCGTAGAAGCGATCTGGCAGCAGCTGAGCCGGCAGAATCGCGTCTATTGTAAAGCCGGCTTTTACAAAGATAAACAGAGTCCCAGTGGTTACAGGGCCATGCTGCCAATGATGTAGTGTGTACGTCCGTGGACACGAAGGGGTTAAATCTTTGATATGTTTCCTCTTGTGAATAAAATATGGGTTTATTGCATTCTGTTTTTATGTAGATTTTACACAGCGTTCCAACTTTTTTGTTGTGTACCCAAGATCTTTTCCACAAGATAAGGCCTTCCGGATCATTTCTAAGACTACAACTTCTTGCCTGGATGTTTTATCTGGATATGCAATATCCTAAAACGTTAGTTTCATGCATCTAGCTATCAGTGTATTGAGATTCATTTTTGAATCGGACCTTGCCTTACTTCGATCTCTCATATTCTTTCACTTCCTCCTATATCCCCCACCTATCCCATGTATATCCCACCCTTGTTCTGATACTTGTTTGTGCAGCTGATACAGAATAGTGTGATCGATGATGTACCGTAATTCCTTCATTTTTTTAAAATGCAACCACTGGTGTACAGTATGTGTCTGCACATGCTTCACCTACGTTGATAATAGAATAAAAAAAACAAAACAACTGGGATGCTGGGGTTGAAGTCTGGGGTATAAAGCTGGCCATACACCTAAAGATTTCCAAAACACCTGAACAATCTGATTGGATGCCGGCATTGTTCAGTTATTTTGAGAGCGAGCGGGGCCAACTAGCAAGATACTGAATCTTAGCCCAGTGGGAGATTCCTCCATCCACACAGCTTAGCATAGATGGAGGAATCATTTTAGGACCTGATTACGCCGTCCTTTAAATGCTGAAGTGCACAATCCAAAAACAAAAAAGAGCAGTCATGTGACTGCAACAAAAACAGAAAATAAAAAGTATTTTGGCCGAATATGTTTCTTAGACAAGACAGGGTGATTAATATCGGAATAGTACCTCTGAGAGCTCAGTCACGCTTTCCCAGCATTAAAATGTAGTCAGTCTTTCCATAACTGTTTGTCTTGTTGCTAAAAACATCAATCTGAGCAATTTACGTTTGTATTTCGATGAAGATGTCATGGTCCTCTACATTCCATTCAACGGGCTCCTCCTTCAGGCTGCAGGCAATGTACTGATTTTCCAGTCATTTTGTATATTATTGCCTTACAATCAATGTAACCTGCTTCTATCTGGGCCACATTGTCCCTTGTTCCATTCATTTACTGGCATTTGACACCAACCTCCTGATTCTTTTATTGACCCAAATACAATTTTTGTGAAAGAAAAGAATCAGTGTAATTATACATGTGCGATACATCCAATTTACTAATAAATTCATTCCACGTCAGAAGAATATACACCACATAACAAATATACAAATCCTAATCGATGTTCAGCCCAGCTTGACATGCTTTTTTTTTTCCCTTTTATTTTTGTATTAACAATTTTAGTAGCTGGTATACCGAGGCTTCTTAGGTATGTGTTCAATGGTCAAGTATGAACAAAGTTACATTTATATTCCCTGACTCTACAAAGCCTTCCGGCTTTAGAAGATGTTATACCGAGGCTCAATTGTAGAAAATACATAAACCTACAGTAAACTGTATATATATACACACTAAACACATGACAAAAAGTGCTATCACAGTCACATGCACTTAAGAGTTAAAAAACTGGATGACATGCAGACCTATACAGTGTCAGTCTGCCCTAGCTGAAAATGAACCAACACTAACAGAAATGATCAATCTTCTGGGCTGTTTGTTGTGGCAAACAATCAGATCCCAGCTACCTTTATTCTTCTACTGTTTTTATACATTAGCCCCTAATGAACCTTGTATCTGCATTCAGTTTTCTTCTTCATTTCTCATCCATCCAGTCTAATGTTTCCCATCAGATATGGTTATAGGAGTAGGGCCAATGTACATGAGTCTGTCTATAACTTTGCTGCTCGTGCATCCTCTGTACGGAATGAAGGAGTGAATTGTATGCCAGGTACTGTATCATTCAAGTGGCAGCAGGTTCTTCTTTCTTATGGAAAGTAGAGTGCTTTTGTGAGCATAGACATAACACATGGGATCTGCTTCTTTGCGTGAAAGTCTATTTGATTTGAACATGATTCAAATTCCAAGGCCACCATGTGATTTACACATGTAAGAATCTGGATAAGTTCAAGTTGTTTGTGATGGGATTTCAGCATATCACACAAGGACTGGATGAACCAAGAGCCATTCACCGTGTTTCTCCAAGAGTAGTACCCTAGAAAGAAGAATAAACATGGCTTATTCCATATAGTTACTAAATATAGTCTAGGCAATAAAGAGTTCAGCCTGAGATCCACTGGTTGGATGCCATGTACCGTATTACATTCTGCTTCTATTATCACCTTGTTTCCATTCAACAAGTCTGCATATGGGTTCTACCAATTTTACTCAGTAATTCTCCTTGAATCAACATGTGTTTGTAACAGGCCTGGATGTGTTGAAGTTATACCACAAACATACAGGTGTGAGGGCTAATCGGAATACCCATCCGGAGGCTACCAGAGCCTATCCAGCCCATATGTCAATGTAGAATCATTCAGTAAGGATTGTATGCTGTATCAGGGGGTGAAGGCAAAGTTTAGGAGTAGCCTATAACAACCAATCCATTGATTGCCTACATTTTAACGCTCACGATGGCAGGACACTTGGACTCTTACTAACGTTTATCCCTCAATGTTCTTGATAAATAAGGTCTATTAAGTGAAATGCTGATGCCTTGCTAAAATGTGTCACAAATCTTTGTAAAAACTACATGTCAGAACCATCCATAGATAATGACAACTTAAATTATAAGGCAAATCGGAACTTTTCCTGTAAAGGTTGAATTTGATCCCACCTCCTTCTGCCTTCAAGCCTACTTGGCAACGAGGCCATCTATTACATTAGCAGACAAATATGGTGGTTCAGGTGGCAAGGGGGAAAAAAATTAGATTTGCATATAAATTCATCTACCTAGAACTCTGGATCTACTTACTATTTCTGCAGAAGGCTGATACCAAGCCATATTCAGGTACTTACAAGTCTTAAGCTGGTCATACATCTGGGGGCTGAACGAAAGAAATCTAACAGATTCCTCGATCCATGCTAAACAACGTGGATTGATAAATCTGCCCTGCCTGGCTATTGTATGCCGACATCTGGTATCTGCAGCTGTCGGAATACCCGAACAGTGATTGCATCGGATTGAATACAGTCAATCAACCGACAATATTCCACTCGGCTTAAGTTCCACCAGGGCCACATACAGCTCAAGTTTCAGCCCAGTCAACAGTACACAGCTGAAATTCGAGCTATGGACAGCTTTGTTCTGGTACACTACCTTGTCATTTAAAAAATAAAAATCATGATGTTTTAATGAATACAGAACTTATTATTCTATGATGTTTCTATCTGCCTAGAGTTCAGTATTAAAGGAGAACTATGAGGTGAGTGCTTTTCACTCACCCCCTACTTCTTGCCGACCTGTGACAATGAGACTGTCACAGGTCGGCTCAGTAGATCGGGAGGTGAGCGAACACACCCCGGCGTTCACTCCCCTCCCGATCCTGTCACGGCTCTCTGCCGTGACAGGGGAGGGGCTGGATTCCCCCATCCGATCCGCCAGCGCTGACTGGGGGAATGGATGGGCAGGGGGCGGGTACAGCTGTCACTCACGCAGCTGGGCAGATGTCGACATCGATGTCGGGATCCGCTCCGGCGTCTCAGTATACCGCGAGCTGTAGCTCGCGGTATACTGAGCTTAGGGTAACGGGAGGACGCTAGTTTGTGTCCTCCCGTTACCCTAAGGAGAACTATGGGGAAAAGCCCTGACCCCATAGTTCTCCTTTAAGGATGTCCATTTTGATTCTATAATTCTCAGACTTTATATAAACAGTCCTTAGGATCAGTGAACTTGAGCAATTCTGTTATAAAAAGGACACACACACACCTTTCTCCAATGACACTTCTTATTCAAACTGTGAACTTCCTCTGACATACTGAAGGTCTCCTGGCATAGCAGAATTTGAACACATGGAAAAGCAGAATTACATACCTGGCACTGTAGAATAAGCATATAGGAAATCTGCTTCAACTGGGATCTTGTGCGTTTCTTCTTGTGATCCGCTTCCACTGTCTGTCTCCACTCCTGAGTCGAGTTCTGTTCCCCTGCAAGCCTTAAGGAAAAACAACATTCAAAGAACTTCTTTGTCCTTCATAATTAGATACATTTTATAAAAGTCTTCTAAATATGAATTAACGTTTTCATTGAGCTCCTCTAAATTGTAATCTTGTATATTAACTACTTGCCATCTGCTTGTTGTAATTAAATGGCCGGACAGCTCACACTTGAGGGCGGTTGGATGTTTTTAAGTGTCTTCTTCCACATACGAGTGGGAAACGTTGAAAATGTATTTTATATAGCTGGCTATGGCTGTTGTATACAACCGTTTGGGCGGCATTGCTTGTACGGTGCTGCTGGGGAAGTGACCCCTGATGTCTTCATAAAGAGGACCTGTCACCGTATCCGTGCCATCACATCTGTGCTTGTTAGCCCCCTATGCAATAGCAATAAAGTATATATATATAAAAAGTTTAAAAAATTGAAGTCACATACATATAGAATTTTAAAAAGATATGTTTTGTTTTTAATCTAAGTCCCCCACCCTCACACAAACACGCATCAGGTGCGCCTATTTGTTAAAATGTAAATTGTGTCACATGTTACATATCACCACAAACGTTGGAACAAAAGCAATAATTCTAGGGCCATCAATCACTGTTAACACTAAATTGATGAGCGGTAAACGCTTTTGAAAGCATTGCTATGGGCCATTTTGAGTATGTCGTAGTAGCTTTGACAGGCACATGCAATTTTAAGACTTGACATGTTTGGGATCTATTTACCCGACGTGAACAAAGAAATGTAGCAGAATACATTTTGGCCTAAATGTATGAAGAAAGACTTATTTGCAACGTTTCATAACATAACACAGGGAAAACCGTTGTTTTTATTTTTGGTACTTTTTTCTTTATTTAGTAAAAAATAAAAACCCCATTTGGTGGTGATTAAATACCACCAAAAGAAAGCTCTATATGTCCCCCCAAAAATATATAAAGTTATTACAGTGTACAGCGTTACATGACTGAATAAATGTTGAAGTACCGCAGCACTGAATACTGAAAAATGGCCGGGGCAGGAAGGGGGTGTAAACACCTGGTCTTCAAGTGGTTAATATGGCCTCTCATTAGGAATCAGAATATTTTTCACCTCTAGCTGTACAGGAAGTTACTGTATACATAAAATGGCAAATCTACATATTAAAGAAAAGTACCTGAATAAAGAATAATTTGGGTTTGCCCGCCAAGGACTTGCATCGGTCACCTCGGAAAAGGGATGTGAGCTGTTTAATAGGCATGCTGTCATCTACTCCGAAAAAGTAGCCTTCCTCGCCGTGACTCAGGAGTGCGCAAATGAAAGAACTTCTTTTGCTGTGGTCATCTTCAGCCACTGCACAATACAAATATTAACAATGGATTGAGTGGTTTCCCACTACTGAAAATAAACTATAATTTGCAAAAACCAAATAGGAAAATATCATCTGTGAACAGGAGTTGTCTTCACATGAAGGGCTGATAAACTGGTGGGTTATTTTATTAAACAGTATATGTATAAAGTCACTCGCACTCCAATAGAATTTCAAGTCAAAAATGTGTTAACCCCTCCGTTGCAGCAACGGAGGGGTTAACACGTGTTCATGTGATTGGTCCACTGTCTTTCTCACCATGTATATTATCTGCACTTGTACTGTGGTGTTTCACATTCTGTTTGCCTGAAGAAGGAACTGCTGTTGTTCCGAAACGTCGCGATATGATGTGATAGCAGTCGAGTCAATAAACCGTTTTTGACTTGAAATTCTTGGATTGCAGAGGCATCTGCAGTCACTTTGGCACCCACCCGACTCCAAAGGTATTATTCGGTCAGGGTACACTGTGATGGGTACACTGGATTTTGGATTATATTAAACAGCACACCAAAAGCTAGCTCTCCGATTAGGGATTGGGGAAATTATTTACATTAGTCTTATCGACACTAAACAACTAGATACATTTAATCTTTGCCCAAGCAAATGAGGAGTTATTTTGGGAGTAGGGGGGTCAGGTGGAAGGACAATATCAAGGGAAAAGGAAAGGAATCCAGGAATGTTATCAGGTTGAGAAAGGATAGGGTTTGAGTCTAGATAGGGGCAATTTCTCATATCTGTCTGTGACATGCTGCAACAAAGTGTGCAGCCAATTTCACCATCAGCTCCTCTCCCAGTAGAATGTGCAGTTTCTCTTTTATAGAAGTAAAGCCCAGGATGAGAAATGAGAATCTCTGGAAGTGAGTGAGTGCAGTGTACTTGGGACATCTTAGCAGGAAGTGGGCCTCATCCCCAATGACCCCCTGGTCACACTGCTGGCACAGTTTACTCTCCTTACACTTGTAGGTTTGCCTATGCTGCCCTAGGTCTATTTCCAGGCTGTGGGCACTGGCGCTGGACAGGCTCAGGGTCTGTCTTTGGGGTCTTGTAGCCTCTCCGGGTTTGGGGCCAGTTTGTAGTCTCTCTGAAGTGGCAGACCAGTAGTTTCTGTGAATTTGTTATTTCATTTCTCCACTCTATGACATTGTTTTCTTTGCACTTTGTTACAGTGTCCTTTGTTGGAAATTTTGTTGGGAGTTTTGGATTGACAAAGTGCAGAGGAGTTGTTCCACGGTTTGGCCTGAACCCTGTTGGCCAGTAAGGCTTTGTGGTGGAATGAGTTGGAACTGCTGTTTTGTAGGTGGTCCCGGCATGATAGTGCCCTCTTCTGTAATGTGAGCAGTAAAGAGAATCTACCCCACTCAGTCTGGAAAGCATTGTTGAAAGTGCTCTGATGGACATGGAAAAGGTGCTTGAAAAATTCTAGGTGGAATAATTCTGTTGGGTTGGATTCCCATTATGGGTTGGTCTGGGTAAGTGACAGGGCCCCATACTTCACTGCCATTAAGGATTTATAAAAATGACACTGTCAAAACATTTAGCCAGACTCCTACCAGTGGTTTTAGGTGGTACAGCTGTCTCCTGAAGGCGTAGAATGTTTTGAATGCCTTGTCTTTCAGGGCTTCTATGCTTGGCTTGAAACTTACCTGATTACTCTTCTCTCCCTCTGAATATATATTCTCCAAGGTGTCAGATCCCCTGCTCGAAGTGGCGTGTGTGTGCTGGAGTCTGTTTGGGGGGCATTGCTTTGTGCTTTTCTTTTAGATTATAATCTCCCATTTTAAATATAAATATACGCTTCAAAAAGTGAATTTTTTTCTATATAGTTTTGAGTGCTGTTGGTGCTGCAGCATGACAGTACTACATTGTGATGCCTTGTTTTATGGGATCGGTCAGCCTTGTGATACTTTCTGCTGTTTTTATTGCTTGTCCTCTGAATGTTCCTGTCGTTTTGCTTTTTTAAAGGCTAAGTTTACCTTTTAAATCTTGTTTCATGTCACACACATATTCAGCGTTAAACATGAAACATGGTCACAAAACCACTTCCCCCACCTACCTAAATTGCAGTGTTCTTCTCCGCACAGACTGCTATTTTTTTTAATCTGGCGTGGCTGTGTATGGCTCTGCCCACACAACTGCATTATCCATTCACATATCCTTCCACAGGATCTGCAAATTAGGAAACTACAAGTCCTGTCTTATACCCCAGTACAGACATTCAGTAACAGGGAGGGAAGGAAGAGTCTGCAAGAGACAGAGTATTGCATCCACTGATGGCGGCTGCAATACTTTACTGGCTCCAAAGCTAAAACAATGATAAATGCGCATTTTTCTTTTATGAATAGGTATGCATTTTTTTTTTAAGGTGAACTTTAGCTTTAATATTCTTTTTCCTCTTAACGTTTCTGGTTATGTCTTTCAATTTTGCTCATTACACCATATAAAGTAATACAGTTTCAGGAACATATTCTCAGTTCTGCTTTTTCTCTTTCTTTAAATTACAAACAGGAAAATGGTAGTGGGGGGAATGCTGTAAAAAAATACTGAGCAGGCCCACTGGCCCTACCACTGTGTGTCAAATATTTCCACTAAGGTGACAATTCCTGCACAAAAGAAAGACGTTTGAAACAGGATTTACCAGTCTAGCTCTCCTGTCATAGTAGAACTGAAAGTTTCAATATGGCACCGGAAGATTCACAAGTTGCCCAACACTGGACTTAACAGTACAACATGCTATATATGCAGAGAAAATGTCAGCTCAGGATTCAAAAGTAGATTGTCACGGCAATGGTGGTAGACGGTACTTGCCTTTTTTTAAAAGTTCAAAGATGTCATGGCACTTCAGGTCATTGTAAATCTGGACTGTGTAACCTAAACTTTTGAATGTATTCTTTAATTTTAAGGCATCTACATCAGTTCCATTCCGCATTCCCATTCCTGTTGAAAAAAGAAAACATTATAATTTAACCATATATTAAAATGGTTCTGGATGGACAGATACACAAACAGTACACACACTTACTTGTAGATGGGTGAAAGTTCTTGTTGTTGACGATGACACATAACCCCATCTCTGGGTAGTCCATTCTATATGTGAAGCGATGGCTAAACTTTGAATCCATTTCTTTCGCTGTGCCACCTTTTAGATGAATTCTGGAAGAGAAAACCCACAGAAATGGACACGTATAGCACATAAGAACACCAAAGATTCTATTCAGCAAACCATAGTCCACAATTCTCTTGCTATGGGGTATTCTTGCTGGGGAATCTATGCAAATACAATTTATTAAAGGACTTGTTTACTTATAGTGTATTTCCACTTCTGCAGCCAAATTGGAATAACACCTACTTGATATTTGTTATACGTTCTCATTCACATAGCAGAACTTAAACAAAAAATATTTAAGAATTGCTGATCACATTTTAAGGGTTTTATACTTGCTTAAAAATCCTACCTAGCCTCCCACCCCATGTAAAGTTAAGGAGGGAACTGTGGGCAGCTAACTAACCCTGTCTGTACTCTGCTGGCAGATTTCATTAGTTGTAAACTAGATTTGAACACGTTCTGTCCTAAGAAAGGGTTGAAGATCTAGAAGAATTGCATGTTAATGAGAGGAAGCTCAGTCTGTCCCTTCACTTTCAAACTACTCAGAGCAGCCTGCAATCTGCACAAAGGCCGTCACCTTATTATTTTTAGGTATGCTGTCTGAATAGGAACAAGGTTATATTGTGCCCCGATGAAGGGATCCTGTGCGGTCCCGAAACGTTGCTATTTTGTACATGACAATTGACGATTGGTCCGATTAAATGGACATCAAAGATATTTACTGAGTGCTGGTGATTTCTGCTTTCCACTGTTTGTTGCATGGTGCCATCCGTGATTGTCACTGCGAGCACCACTACAAGTACTTGGGCCGAACTGGCCGAAATTTGTACCGTATATAGCCTACTTTAGCCCATGGGCAAAACTTGGAGTTAACGTGAAGGAATCTCTTCTTGCGAGATATAAAATGTTGGTGGTTTATAAACCCAAGAGAATGTAAGCAAGTCTAAAATATTACTTTAGGTTGCCTGACTGCCACATATACAAACATGCTTGAAGAGATTGAAAGAAGTGCATATTCCCCACCCCTGACCCAAATGTGGCAGTGCAGAATTTTGCACTGCTGCAAGCAAGTGCTGGGACTTAGTAGCAAAGGGGCAGAGCTTTAGTCTTCTTTCACACTACGTGTGAATGTGCGTTTAGAGATTCCTGCAGCGGGAACCAAACAAATTCCTGCGGCAGGAATCCCAAATATGAATTTCAGAAGTGCCCACTGTCACCCATTCAAGATAATGATCAGGTGACAGCGGCCGCAGTGGCCTCATTTGAAAGTGGCAGTCTGCAGACACTTACATGCGGTTAGGAATAGACCACTGTCCCTGGATGCATGATAGTTGCATCCAGGGACAGTAATCTATTCCCAACTGTATGTAATCATATCACATATGATTACATGTGGAGTACCCGCAGACTGCTGCTTTCAAATGAGGCCGCTGTCACCTGATCATTAACCTGAATGGGTGACTGCAGCCACTTATAAATATATGGGATTCCTGCCACAAGTATTCGTAGGTTCCTACCACAGAAATCCCTAAACGCACATTCACAACTTTGTGCGGAAGACTTTGAAGATTTATTACACTTCAAACCCACATTTTAAAAACATACTGATGGGGATCATTCCTGGCCAATGCAGACACTGACATGTATGATTTACTTCATATATGGTTTGGAGTCAAAGTGTCCCATCTATGGTGAAATGATTAGACTTTGATGACCCATTATGAAAGCATGTACAAGTTTTTACCATTGCTGTTATAATACAATTAAATAAATGTATAATGTGCAAATAGGCCATCACTTACTGCTGGCTGGATGAAAATGTTCCAGCATCAGTGTTGTCACCACCTCCTGTGCTGCCGTCTGCTGTGTGTGCTCCATTCTGTTTATCCCCCATTTTGCTTTCTCAGTCTTAAACGCTGTCAAAACAAATCATATTCACATAGAATTATATACTGAGTTTAGAAACATGATCATTCAGGGTTATTTCAAACCAAAGCATGTGTCATCTTGCAGCATTTAATTCGAATTCCAGCCGACCAGAAAACAACGTAAACCTGATAGAGGTTGTAACCCTTCACCGTGCCAGTAATTGTATTGTTTGCTTCAATTGAAGCGGCCATTTGTAGCCATACAAGAAAAATTATTGTTATTAGTTATATGCTTTTATAACTGCGCTAAGCTAGATTATGAGCTTGGGCATACACATTACAACTGGAACGTGACCTTTGTTACATTTATAAAGATTGTTACAAAATTCTCAACTTGTATGTCAGCACATAAGAAACAACTGTAAATGTACATTGAAAAAACACAACTGAACAGCCCGGTATCAGACCACAACATGTAACTGTATTATTTTATATAGTGATCTAGGCCAGCGGTCGCCAAACGATTGTCTGCGGACCACTGGTGGTCCGCGAGAACATTTTGGTGGTCCGCAATTGCCCCCCGGGCCTCTGATTCTGTGCAGGCTGGGCCGTCATTGAAGCGGCACGGAGGCTCCGGGGCTGCCTCTAAGCAGCGGCTGTTACAAGGAATGCGCGGCTCTCAGTACAGTCAGGTCCCTGCACAGCAGACTTTATGTGGCGCATACAACGTGTACACTCCATTCAGGTCCCTGCACAGCAGACTTTATGTGGAGCGTACAATGTGTGCACTCCATTCAGGTCCCTGCACAGCAGACTTTGTGTGGAGCGTACAATGTGTACACTCCATTCAGGTCCCTGCACAGCAGACTTTATGTGGAGCGTACAATGTGTACACTCCATTCAGGTTCCTGCACAGCAGACTTTATGTGGAGCGTACAATGTGTACACTCCATTCAGGTCCCTGCACAGCAGACTTTATGTGGAGCGTACAATATATACACTCCATTCGTTCCATGTACACTTAAGGCCCCGTTCACACTGATCGATTTATCGCGCGGTAATTCCCGCGATATCGCTCTCCAATGCTTGGCAATGGGGCAAAGGGTCCTGCTGTCGCGGGTCGTGCGTCGCTACAGTAGGACCCTTTTTGGAGCGGATTTTGCCGCGATTCTAGCTTGCTCAATGCAAGCATTTGCGCAATATATCGTGCAAAATGCAAATCGCGCGACAAACGCGCGATTTGCGAATCGCGCAGTGTGAATGGGGCCTAACTGTGTGGATGGAGTAATCTCCACCTGGGCCAAGCTTCTGTAATCTTGCTAGTCGGCCCCACTGGCTCTCAAAACACCTGAATAATGCCTGCATCCAATCAGATTGTTCAGTTATATTGAGGGCCAGAAGATCTGACCACAGAAGATCTGCAGATAATTGTAAGGTGTATGGGCAGCTTTAGGGTACAGAAAATTGAAAGATATATATTGGTGCATTTCGTTTATTGCCTGTTCTGTGACCATATCTCCAATAAAACAGCACACACTTAGCCCTGATAGGATCCACAATTTAAAATGAAATGTTAAAATGAAATGAAATGTAACTCGGATGTGACTGGAGGAAGAATGGATAGTTTCTGTTATAATTGTAACATAACATCTGTGACTTTGCTGAAGCCTTGGAAGTGGCATTGTACCTATTCTGAGTGGTCTCTTGCATGTTTTATGAGCTCTCTAGACGAGTACATCCCCATACATTAGTAGATCCCTGATTGAACTTACAACAATAGATCTTTCTTTACCACCCGATAATACCATCAGACACTTGACAGATGTCAGTGGAAATTTGGTTTTAACATTCGAATTTGGAAAGAATGGAATTTCTGAACAAAAACTACATTCGCTGTTAAAATTCCGTCTGTTACAGAAACATTTTCCATTCTGCTCCTCTCCACTTGTTTAGTCACTGGGGTCAAAATCAATCATCGATTTGACCCCCTCAACTACTCGAACGGAGGTTCTTTCGTATAAAAGCTCTTTCAAACATCTAAAGCAGTGTATGGCCAGATTTACATTGTCAGCCTACAGATGGCAGTAGATAAGCAACATTGTTTTCAAGCTGGCAGTATTCAAACCGACTGATTCCATTGGCCACACTGATCTGCTACAATATACATGCAAAACGGAATCCTTCCCACAAAAGATGTTCTTCTGCTGCTATGGGTTACAATCAGTGATTGGCAGAAGATAAATGACCACCAGTTAGACAATCACAATGAGGATGGTGCTACAGGGCCAGATCCAAGTGAATGTTACCCCCGGTCCAAGCACCACAGACAATGATCATACTAAAAAGGCAAACAGACTGTTCTCTTTGCAAGGGAATTTTCCCTTAACTTATTAAATGTCGTAAAATTCTTTGCAAAGAATACCAAATCATTAACAAAGAAAATAAAAAAAGCAGAATTTATCAACTGGGGCAGACAGAATTCAAAGATATTTTTAAAGCTTAACTGAACAAACTGAAGATAGAAGTTGATCGGTTTCCCTGGGCAACTGCTCCAGATTCTGTCTGCAGTTTTCATCAATTCACCCCTACGGTCTTTTTGCTTGGATTGGATGATGGAAGTCATCAGAGTTTCACCTCATTCACTTGGCTAAGCCTGGCCATACATTGTAATCATTTTTTTTGTTCAACCCGAGAATGAAGATAATAGAACAGATTCCTCCATCAATGCTTATGAGCATTGATGGAGGAATCTCCCGCTGTCAGCGCTGTATTGACCTCAGCCTTCGGGTCAGACTACCCAAACAGGGCAGCTGTTTGTCTCTTTTCATTCGGCCGGCACTTTTGATCAACTGATTTGGGATGCTGGCCGAATGGGTGCCAACAGCGGCACCCGCTATGCGACTTTCGGCTGCTTCATCAAGAACCGACTGAAATGCGCACAGTGTTTGGCCAGCTTAAAGGACATTTCCACCTTTGTAAGTGATTTGTATGTTTTGTGGTAATGTAGATGTGCGGGGGCGATGTATATGCGTGTGCTGTGTCAGGAGTCACAGGGCTGTTTTTCATACTTTATTTAATTTTATTTATCACCGAGGAAGTGTGGGGTCATCGGATTTGTGCGGGGTCACCAGAGATGTGCGGGGTCACCGAGGATGAGCGGGGTCAGCGGGTATGTGCTTTAGGACAGAGGCATTTTTCAGCTCGTTGGCGGTCTTTTACTTTTGTACAGAGAAAGGAGAATGAGATTGTGATCTCATGCGACACTCTTACCTATAGGTCAGACTGATGAATTGTACTACTGTTCTAGAATAAATCTCTCTTTAACCATAATGTTTATGAGTCACCACATGATACTATCTAATTTCTCCATATAACACAGAAGTGTATGTTACAGTTTCCTTTTTAAAACAGAACAAAAGACATGAGACAATTATAAATGAATGATTAAGTGAGGCACACAAAACACATACACAGCAGATTTTCCAAGACCATCAGGAAAGGCAACGTAATCACCATGAGCTAATGTACTAAAGCAGCCAGTCCTGTCACCAGGGACGGTGATCTCATCCAGCTATTTACAGAAATGCAAACATTATACTAGAGGGAATATAACTCACCTAACACCT